GGGCGCGTGGGCACACAGGTGGCTGGGCAGAGCTCGCGGGCGGGAACACGCAGGTGCACAGGCAGGTGCGCGGGGCCGGCACACCTGGGAGCCTCCCGCAGGGGCGCCCGTCTGGGAGTTCCGCCCGGAAGGGAGGAGATGGCCCGTGTCTGCTCCGAACATGGCCACAAACGCTTCGGGAGCCTTTTGAGCGCTGATAGGCATCTGTCCCGAGCTGGGCACCTGCTCGGGATTCCTCAGCGGGGACCGCTGACGCGCAAGACCGGCCCTCCCGGGAGAGACAGGTGGGCCCACTGCGCCATCGGGCGGGGGCACCTTGCACCAGGCTCCCCGCCCCAGCAACACCCAGCACCCTCGTAGCTCCGCGTTCACGGCATCCCCGCCTCTCGGCACCAGGAGGGGCGGCCTCTTCTTTGCCCCGCCCGGACCTAGGCCCCTGCTGGGCCCTGCATCATCCTCAGCCCTCTCCACCATCCACCTGCAGCTGCCCCACTGCAGTCCAGGAACAAGGTCCACTGTCCTCTGTCCAACCATCCTCGCGGTTGCACTTACACATCGTCTCCAGCGATTTGTTACTGCAAGACATGGCTGGTGAGTACTGTCACACTCGAAGATTTCATCTGCATTGGAAAGCATCTCCTCAGGTCATTCCCCCCGAAAAAGACCGTATGAAGCAGTCTACATGTTCTCAATGCACAGCTCTCTGCAGGAGGATGGCACAATGTCATTCTTTTCCCAGGAAGGAGTGAGGGGGTGTATCGCACCGCACCGTGGCCAACATGTCCCTCCAGGTGTCCAGGGCTGGGAGCACCTGGTCCACGAGAACCAAGGACACAATGAAGTGTCGTTATAGACAAGAAATATTTAACTACTTGAGACCCTCAACAATACGCAGCATTGGCTCCGGAGTACAAATAAGGGAAATACTTAAAACCCCGAGTTTTCGAGGGTGAACAGAGGACTCAGGGAAGGAAGCGAGCAGAACAGCCAGATGCTCGCCAGCACACGATCTCTGCGCGCCACAATGGGATCACATCACGGGTCTCCACCACAGCGGTGCCTGCGGGAGCTGTAGCCACCCGAGCAGGGGCAGGAGAGAGGTCTGCTAGTGAAACCTCCCCACCTCACCCACAGTGTCCTTCCACACCCCTCCTTTGGCTGCAGCCAGAGGACTCCACAGACACGCAGGAGGACGGAATCAACACCTGAGGAGCTGGAGCTCCCAAATGATCATGTAGATGCCCCCAGCCAGACAGGCAACCCATGAGAGAGGGAGGGAGTTTAGAGGCTGAAGCACCCGTTGTTCCAGGTTCCACGTTATAGCACCTGGGGTCCTTTACTGTGAACGATGCAAATGGTGTCTTGAATGACGACGACATCCTGGACACCACGTGAAATATCTTTTCCTTTATCGGTGCATCCCGTGCTGTCCTTCTAAGTATCACCTCCCAGGAACCGATCTGCCCGACATGTAAATTTTTCCCAAGCTGAGATGACTGCTCTCCATAGAGAAAACTGCCAATAATTACTCTCAGAAACTTCTGGATGTTCTTATGAACTCAAAACTCCACTTGGCTCTAAACAACAACTCTGGTTTCACTGTTAGAATCATTCTCCTTAAACAAGGAGAAATGGAAGCTCCTTGACCTATGACTCTGCCGACTGTCCAGTTTATGTTTCACAGCCTTCCTGAGGGGCCGACTGACCTGGACACATTCTGCGGCGCTGAGAGGCTTGAGGGGCTCTGTACGCAGGGCCTGGGGGAAGCAAAATGCTGTTGCTTCCGTGGCCACAGCCTGGGCCACCAGAGGGGAAGCTGCCCTGGTCCCACTGTGCAGGGCTCAGCCGCTCCCCTCCTGCCTATGGGGCTCCAGCAACCATCCCTTCCTCAAGATGCTTGGCCAGATTGTTTTAAATTTATGCTTTTTTTTAAAGATTTATTTATTCATTTATTTATACATGCACTGGGTACAGTCAGAAGTGTGGGAGGGTGAGAGAATTCACCAGAGCCACAGCGGGGAGCAGAACAGGCAGAAGGACCGAAGTACACTACTGAGGGGAGCAGTGGGCGGCAGGAGAGGTCTGTGCGCCATGCGGGACCCTCACCGGTGGCCGGGGAGCATCCGGGGATCGAACTGGCGCTGCAGAGGCTGCGGGCAGCTTTGCAACCCAGCGCTCAACCACTGCACCACCAGGGAGGCCCCTTTTTATGATTTTTCTTGATGCAGCAGATGGCAGACCCTTTATGGAGCGATATTCTGGGGGCTTTGCGGTCTCCCCAACTCCTGTAACAGCAGAACATTTTAAATTCCCAATTTCGACATCACGCCCCCCCAGAAGACAAAGGTGGTGAGTGACAGACACTGAACCACCCCCGCACACACTCATCTCTCCACACTCTGAGGACAGCCGCCCACACTACCCCTAGGGACACCCCGTGTCCAGCGGCGCCGGAGAAGCAGCTCCACCGGAGAGTCGAGGGAGGACTGAGAACCCCGAGGAGGCGCCACCAGCTCAGAGCCCGGCGTGCGGGGAGGATGTACCTGATGCTCCTGAGGCGCTGAGACCGTCACGGCATGGGGAGGACACGCGGGTCACGGGGGCGCGAGGGGGGGACGTCCAGCCGGGGACCCAGGACGGTCTTTCTCCCCGCGGAGCGCCCCGCGACAGCGCGAGCCCCCGAGGGCGACGGTGCCAGGGCAGCCTCTGCCCAGGCGGGTGCAGGTCCCCCCACCCAACGCCACCCCTGGCTTCTCGTCACCCCACAGGCCACTGTGGAGCGAATCCCCCCGCAAGTGCCTTGAGGACATTCGCGCCCGATGGAGGAATCCACCCGCCGAGGGTGGCCCCCTGGCACCACCGGGTCTGGGCAGCCTCGGCAACCCGACTCCACCCCACCCCGGAACCTCCCCCCGCGAGTTCAGGACTCAGGCCCAGGGAGGCTGTGGCTCCGGCTTCCCCGACAGTGTCCCTGGAAGTCCTGGAGCCGCCGGAGCCTGTACAGGGCTCGCTGCAGAGGGAAAACATTCCCGGGCTACTCAGCAGTGACCGCGGCGAGCGCCGGGGGCCTTTTCACAGACTTCACGTGTCCTTCACACTGTTTCCTAAGCTCACCCCGAAAGGCCGCCGAGCAGGGTGCGCAGTCACGGCAAGACTGCGCCCCGAGCGGTGTCCACATCCTCCACCCCAGCTCTCCAAAGGAGAACGGCACCCGCTCACTCTCTCCTCAGGACATAGAGAGTCCACACTTCACCTCACCTTGGCCGACATTTCGGTCACCGCAGCCAAGCCCAGGAAAGTCTCATGACACGAGATGGAAACACCACCAACTCTCCCCGCCCGAGACTGCTTGATGCTCATCCCTGATCGTGGGAAGGTGAGCATCTCCTCCTGGCCTGCTCTCGGGATGTATTTCCTTTCTCTAGGGATGTTCCATATAATCTTGCACACATCCAAGTTTTTACAGATTTGTTTCATGAATCTACACATATTATTAGTATTCTTCAAAATGATATCACAAATCAGATTAATTTATAACAAAGGATTTGATAAGGTAACTCTAGCTCAATTATTTGGCTTTCCAAAATACTCGTTTAACGAATACTTAAGATTTATTTATTTATGCACACAAGAGCTGGGGTACAGGCCGTAGATGCCAGGGTTGAAAGGATTCACCAGAGACATAGCAGGGAACAGAACAGGCTGAATGACAAAATACACTGCTGAGGGGCGCAGGAGGCCAGTCAGGAGAGATCTGAGGAACATGTCAGCCAGCTCTCTGGGCGGCTGGGAATCCAACTTGTGTACAGTGGCTGGCAGTAGTTTGAGAGCACTGTGTTTAACCCCTGGGCCACCAGGGAGGCCCCTTACCTTTAGTTTGAAGTCAGAAGTGTGACTCCTTCATTTCCCCCCACTTTTAATCAGGAAAGCTTTGGTTATTTGGGGTCTTTTGTGTTTCCATATGAACCTCAGTAATCTTTGTTCTATTCCTCTGAAGAATGCCATTGGGATATTTATTGGGGTTGCAGTGAATCTAGAAGGGGCTTTGGGTTGGATGGCCCTCTGGACAATGTTGATTCTTCCAACCCATGAGCTGGGTCTCTCTTTCCATTTCTCTATGCTTTCTATTATTTTTTTCCACAATGTTTGATAGTTTTCCTTGTAAAAGTCTTTCCCCTCCTCTGTTAAATTTATTCCCAGTTAATTTTTTTGCGTGTGCAATTGTAGGTGGAATGACTTTGTTAATTTCCTCTTCTAGTTCATTATTTGTACTTAGGAAGGCATATGTTTTTCAATGCAGAGTTTGGTGGCATTACATACACTCACTCTGTCGTGTAACTCTTTTTTCTGAAACCAGGGTGTCCCAAAGGCTTACATACATCCCCAAAATAGACCTGCGTTCTTTGTGCTCATTGCTTAACCCTTTGCACTCCGATGTCCCCTCTCAGGGGACATCACAATTTATTAGTGATTACGGGGAATTGAGTTATTTCAACACAACTTTTTGAGACATGTATGTTTCCCTGAAGTTTTATCTTGAAAGCGCACATGAAATTAAATCAAAATATCATAAAATTACTAAGATATATACAAGAAATGTCAGCAGGTTTTGTGTCGGACGAGAACGTGAGATGCATGATCACAACGGTCCGAGCACTTCACAACGCCACTTGAAAAGAGCGATAAGGGGATTTTGTAGAAGAAAGGTTGATTTTCGAACATAGCGTGCACTGTACAGTGAGATATATAATTACAAATAAACAAGTCTACATCTGGAGGAAAAGATTTTCAAAGCTGAGCTCATTTTGGTTTGAAGCTTCGAGCAGTGCACATAGATGTAACGAGGAGAAAATTGGAAAAGTGATTCTTTTCTTAGTGAATAAATTGTTTGGTGAAAGCGATTTTGGTAAATATCATCTTGTCAGTCAGTAATAACAATTAGAAATTTTCAACCCATGCATTTATTCATATTTTTCATTAGAACAATGGCAAAGCGTCCAACCACGAATGAGTCTCATGACACAAGTAGTAGTAAAGATAAGCTCCACTAATCAGCCTGCAATGCATATTGGGGAGTGTTACAAAACTTATCACACTGTACAAAATTATAAACAATAAAATATTTGTTTTTTTTTGCAAATATACATTCCTCGATGTCACCCAATTCATATATGTCCAATATCATTATAATACGTTACTTGGTTCCAAAATTATACTAAATAATATGAGGGTCTGTAAATGCACATTTCCGCAGCAAAGTAGCGTCGAGTAGCCGGTAGCCAATGTCCAGAATGGTTCGGAGTGCAAAGGGTTAAAAGTCAAACTATACTTTGTTTTCTAGCCTGGCTACATCACCACAGAGCCAAAGAAACACACCAGAAGGTGCCCGGGGCCCCTGAGTGGGGAGTGGTAGCGAGAGTTACATCAAGGACTTCCTCGGCCACCACATTCCACACCGACCACTCACCCCAAGGTATGAACTGACTCAGACAAAGACCACATTCAGGGCACGGCCAGCAATGGCAGAAGGGATTATATTCTGAACAAAGAGTGAAGGAAAAAGACCTGGATTACATCATCACCTCCAGGAGGAATACAGGGGGACGAAGAAAGGGTCAGGGGAAAAAGACAAAACTAGCAGGCAGATGACAGAGCTGAGACGCCAGCAGGAGATGGGGCAGAAGAGGGGCCAGGAGGGGAGGAGGAGCACCAGGGCCTGGGGTGATGGGTCACAGGGGCGGTGCGGACAGGACATTTGCAAGAATTATACAGAAGGGGAGCAATCCAATATTGCACAAATATGAACAATAATTTAATAAAAAATTTTTAACAGGCAAGAATCCTTTCCTTTAAAAAAATTTCAGGGGTCTCTGTTGGTGCAGGGGTGAAGTCTCAGCACTATGAAGCTCAGTACTGCAGACACGAGTTTGATCCATGGCCAGGGAGGTGACCCACAGACACAGTAGACCTCTCCTGTGTCTCCACTGCCCCCTCAGCAGTGGATTTCAGTAGATCCGCCTGTTGTGCACCCCACTCTCTCTGTGGAGAATCCTCTCACCCCCACATACCTCTGGCTTGCACCCCAGGTCTTGTATGCAGAATTAATCTTCCAACAAAATTCCCTTATTCTGTAGAACTGGGGTGTAGACCAGAGGCTCGGGGGTGAGAGGATTCACCAGATACTGAGTGTGGTGACAAACAGGCAGAACCACTGAAATACCTGGCTAACGGGAGCAGCAGGTGACACAGGAGAGGCCTGTTGTGGCCATATGTGGGGCAGCTCCATAGCTAGGGCTGAAACCCAGGCCAGAGCAGGCAATAGCGCTGAGACTTAACCCCGAGGCCACCAGGGGGGCCCTGAAAAACCTTCATCATGAAAGGTAAGTAAAGACACCTGCAGACCTCAACCTATAGCCGAGAGCACACAGTTCAACATTTCCTTCTAGAGGAGGACATTTTGGTGGTGAGCAATTCCAGCATTGGGGGGCACCACAGAGACTTAGAGTACTGGACAGAATGCGATGACTAAGTTAGAAAACCCAGAGAGATCACTTACCCACACAACATGCAGTGTGCCATGTAGACAGACAGCTGCTGTGGACAGGCATAGCATCGCCCAGGAACTTAAGAGGATACTAGAAGCAACAGCAACAGGAACAGCGACATCATCACTGTATGAACTTGGGAGAACAGAGTGAACCAGGTAACTCCACGCAATTAAGATTGAAACTGTATGTCAGTTCCCATTGCTCTCAGCTGCATGATGTGGTTTGAACTCCTAAGTTTGAATATTTTTTAAAATATTTTTATTTATTCAAGCATATAAGAACCAGGGTACAGGCCAGATGTGTGGGAGGGTGAAAGGATGCACCAGAGACAGAGAGGGGATCAGAACAGGCAGACTGACCGAAATACACTGCTGAAATACACGCAGCGGGCGAGACAGGAGAGGTCTGCCGCACCATGGGGTTGCTCCTGGCTGGCCAGGGAATCAAACTCCCACCACAAAGGCCATGGACAGCTTCACAGCACTGCACTCAACCACCTGCACCACCAGGGGAGGCCTGCCTGCACACTCTTGACATTCATAGCATTTCACTCCAGTGTGGAGTTTGTCATGCCTAGTGAGGGCTGACTTCCTGAAAAGTTTTCCCACATTCTTCACAATCATAGGGATTTTGTCCAGTGACATCTCTGATGTCCAGTGAGAGCTTGCTTACTGGAAAAAGTTTTCCCACACTCTTGACACTCATAAGACTTCTCTCCACTGTGACTTCTCTGATGTTTACTGAGGGATGATTTCTGGCGGAAAGTCTTCCCACATTCTTGACACTCATAGGATTTCTCTCCACTATGAATTCTCTGATGTGTAATGAGGTGTGGCTTACTAGAAAAAGCTTTCCCACACCCTTCACAATCAAAGGGTTTCTCTCCAGTGTGACTTCTCTGATGTCTAATGAGGTTTGACTTACAGGAAAAAGCTTTCCCACACCCTTCACAATCACAGGGTTTCTCTCCAGTGTGAATTCTCTGATGTTTACTGAGGGATGATTTCCAGAGGAAAGTCTTCCTACACGCTTGACATTCGTAAAGCTTCTCTCCAGTGTGAATTCTCTGATGGTGACTGAGGGATGATTTCCAGAGGAAAGTCTTCCTACACTTTTGACATTCATAAGACTTCTCTCCAGTGTGACTTCTCTGATGGAGACTGAGGGATGACTTACTAGAAAAAGCTTTCCCACACTCATCACAATAATAGGGTTTCTCTCCAGTGTGACTTCTCTGATGTTTACTGAGGGATGATTTCCACTGAAAAGTCTTACTACACTCTTGATATTCATAAGGCTTCTCTCCAGTGTGAATTCTCTGATGCTTACTGAGGTAACACTTACTGGAAAAAGCTTTCCCATACCCTTCACATTCATAGCATTTCTCTCCAGTGTGAGTCCTCTCATGTAGAACAAGAAGTGACTTACGGGAGAACACTTTCCTGCACACCTGACATTCATAGGATTTCTCCTTTGTATGAGTTCTCTGATGGACACTAAAAGCAGGTTTCCGCCTGAAAGTTTTCTTACACACCTGACACGGGTAGCGCTTCACTCCCGTTTGAGACTGTGGATGTAAAGTGAGGGCAGTCTTCCATGAGTAAGTTTTCACGTAATCATTAGAGCCAAACAACTTCACTGCAGTGAGATTTCTCTGGTATCCCCTCTGTAAGGAAATCTCAGCGGTGCCCCCACACTCATCAGGTTGATCGTCTGCTTGTGTTTTCTGATGTTCAGTCAGAACAGAGGTTTTAGAGGCCACTTCACCATATCTCTTATATCCCAAATTATTCTTTCCTAACTGGATACTCTCACGCAGATAGGGGTGAAATGTGTTTCTGAGACTGGCCCCACTTTCACAACATTTCTGCTGCTCATGTTCAACATACCTAGGAGGATTCAAATGCACTGGAGTCATCTCCGCAGCTCTCCCCTTTTCATTACAACTGCAGCGAGTCTGTCCTCCTTGGGTTCTGTCTCGGACAACGAAAGGTACCTCATCACGGGTGTCCCTGCACTCATTGCATTTATGGACAATCCCTTCCAGAAGGGCTCCTCTAAATGTAAATACTGTTTCTTCACTCACGACTTTTTCCTTGTTCACGAAATTCAAAAGGCTGTTGAAAGTTCTGAATCACCTGGTGACTAAGGTGCTCAGGATACTTGATGGGTTCCCTCATTCTACTAAAGACCTCCTCGTTCTCTCCAGCATGCCCTTCATGAGGCTCACCAGAGATCATCATGGTCCTATGTAGAGTAAAGTTCTCAGGCATCATTGCTGAATTGTTTTCATTTTTGATACTATGGTTCAAACAATGACTTGAGTGCAAATTGCTTTTTTCCATTAAGTCAGTTCTCTCGTTGGATGGAATTTTGCTGCTGGTGGTAAGAACTTGCCACACATGTCTGCCCTGATTTGCAGGGCTGTCCTGAGTCAGGTGATCCACAGTATGGACATCTAAAGTGAGATAAAAATGACCATGTCTTTAAAAAGTAAGCATTCTGAGTGAATACTACTAAGCGGCACGAAAGTTCCTATATTACAACATAATTTACAGGTATTGATTTTCTGATTCATGCTTTTTGCCCGTAGTAAATTATGGGCAGAATAGATTTTTTGGTATTTTTTACTTTAGCATAGGAGATCTGGGGTGTAGGCCAGAGGTGCAGGAGTGGGGGTGCTGTAGGGGAGCATGCTGTAGGGGAGTGTGTTGGCCAGAACAGGCGGACTGAATGAAATACACTGTTGAGGGGAGTTGCGGGTGAGACAGGAGAGGTTTGCTGTGCCAAAGTCGGTGAACTCCTTCACTGTGGATCAAACTCAGGCCATAACAGTAAGAGCTAAGAGACTTAATCCCTAGGCCTCCAGGGAGGCCCCGATTAACAGATTTTCTAATGCCAAACCAGGATAACAAAGCAGTAAATCTAATTTCACAATGGTTTTATAAAATCATAAATATTTGGTAAATATAGTCTTTTAACTAGAGTTGTCGATTTCAACCAGAAGCATTTCACCCAACATAGATCCTACACACTTTCTTTCTTAGACTGACCTTGTGCAACTCTTGAGGGTACTTTCTGAATTACCAAGCCCTGCAGAGGCCATGACTTTCCCAGAAACCTGTGGACTGAGAGACCCAGTCATTGCCCAGGCACTTTAAGCAAGAGGCCTGCTGAGACACAAGGACTCTGCTTCTCCATTTCCTTAGTTTTTCTTTCGACTCTGGCCCGGGCCACGGTCACAGTCACCTGCAGAGGTTCTCAGAGGCATGTGCTTCCCTCCACGGAAGAGACCAGTCAGTTCATATTTAAATATCATATCACATAAGGCTCAGAATCCTAATACATGCAGCAAACTCCACCTCATCATTGTGTCCCACATTCCTGCTAAGCGATAGGAAAAAAGTTCTGCATCCATCCTGTGCTATCAGCGTTAAAGTCTTTTCTCACATCCTTCTGAGAGCAACACCCTGGTGTTCTCAACGCACTCACTGAAACCTGTGTTTCTGCTTTGTTCATAGCAGCTCCAGTTTCTATGTCATGTGTGACTCTCAGCTACATCACACTGTCGTCGATTCCTTTACTTTCCTCCCAACGATTCCCACGAGAAGGTGGAATTGCACAGGTCACACTGCTCCTCAAGTTATGAGCCCCCAACCTGAAACTCTTGGTGCCATGGCTTTAGAAACCACCACCTCAGGTTCCCCCTCCGATGTCACAGAACATCCCTTCCAATGCTGAACAATTTTGGGTCCTCCTCAGCCTCACAATTACTATGAGTGTGGTCACAAGGCTTGCCCCTGAAACACTACTCATGTTCTAAATCACTCTCCAGTCAACGCCTCTCTATCCTTTTTGAGTTAGTCACCGGCTCAGTGACATCTCCAGTAGCAATACATAGCCTTTATCCCAGACTGCAGAGGGAACTATAGATATGACATGTCAGTGCAACCCATTCACCTCACCTGAGCTCTGAAAGAAAATAATTAATCTCTGTAATGATGCATATGGAGCACACACAAAAACAACATCCTCCACTTTGTTTCACTCATGCTGGTCAAAGATCCTCTGTGGCTTTACCTCTCTATTAATAAATGTATTTATTACATATTCTTTCCTCACAGAGTATATAACTTCAGAATGTAAAGATCATTTCTGTGAGTACTGTTGCTCTCCCCTCTCAAAACATTTACCACTGGCTAAACTTCCCATAATCATACAGAAAGAATAAAAAAATTCCTCAAAAGGAACCTAAAGAAAACAGTCTATGACAATACACTAAGAGAGAGAATAGAGATATGTGATTACTGCAGAATCATCCCCATGTATCAGAGACTGCATACTGGTTTAAGAACATAGACAACCATTATTAAAAGAGCAGGACAAAATTCACAAGAGAGTAATATTTGGAAACTGAATAAAGAATCAGTTTGATATATGCAGACACACTCTCCAAGATTGGACACTGGAAAGCACCTCAGTGTGGCCAATATCACTGGCCACACTCCCAGCCTCCTCTCAGCCTCCCGACCTGGCAAGCACTGACTAACCTGAGAGGTCCTGGTTTGGGGGATTGTCCACAGTCCATGGCTGTAATCCCTGCTCCGAACTGATGCTCTCCTCAGGATCGGTAACACAGTGCCCTGTGATGAGAAACAGTGTTGGTCTTCGATCAAGTTCAACTTCAGTCTTTGAAAACTAACAAATGCAGTGTGAAGAGCTGTGCAAAAGAGGCCAATCTGAATCTTTCCAAACAAAAATCAAAACACCCACAATGTACACTGCCTGCCATGTTCAACCTCACCAACACTCAGTTTCATAAGCAAGCGCACACTTATCAGTGCAGAAGACAGCATTGCACTAGAGTGTTACACTGGAGCTTCCTCACCTAGGGACACCAGGTGATTGCAGGTCTCAGCATCACATCCCGGTACAGGGTCCTCTGAGCTTCACTCAGGTACTGCCACTCCTGCCACGTGAAGTTCACAGCCACATCTTCAAATGACACCGTCCCTTCTGAGGGAACATTTCTCATCTCAGGGCCGGCAGCCTGGGTCAGACAGAGCAAGTGCAAACACATCTTATTTTGTGGGTCTTCGGTCCTGTATAGAATTCGCAGTTGAAAGAGCCTCGCCTCTACATTCACCCCTTTGGTCCTACAAGTAGAACTATAGCTTACCTTATATATTTGGAAGTGTCTATGGTTCTAAGAATAAAAGGATGAATAAAATTGGCTCCTTGAGGAGCTGATAGCCTGGCTGGCAGTGTAACAGACATACACCCGGAATCATGTGCTAAAGGAGCTTCATAACAAATGAAAAGCATGTGCAACTTTGTGCCAATATTTTACTCCCGTGACCTCAAATCCTGGTATCTCAAACTCACAGTAAACAAAAACTGAACCCGAAATGAGGATGTTCAAGAAATGAGGTGGGAAAAAGCAAAGGTAAGAGATTTTCAACTACAAGCAAGTATAAACCAGAGATGCACTATGGGGGGTGGAGGGATTAGGGTTAAAATAAGGAGGGTGGGATGTATGGGGACTATAACGAAGATGAAAATGCATAACTTGTGCAGAAATAAAAAATGATGTAAAATACATATAAAGTAAAATTTTAAGAAAAGATGTTCAGCTGACAAAGTCAGAAGAAGAAGAACAGGTCATCACTTCTGAAATGGAAGGACAAAGGGGAGGAGAACGTGGTAATAACTTGGTGGCTGAGGTACGAGGAATGTTTTCCTAATATGCTGTCCACATGACGGGCTGGTAGACACTGGAATTCCACACACAACTGGACATGTGTCTGATAGATCAGGAAGTATAAGCTGAGAACAGAAATTTGGTTATCAGGGCCTCCCTGGTGGCACAAGAGTTTAAGTCTCAGCACTATGAAGCTATTGGGAGCTGCTGCAGCACAAATTCGATCCCCAACCAGGGAGCTATCCACAAGGCGCAGCAGATATCTCCTATCTCCCCACTGCTCCCCTCAGCAGTGTATTTCAGTCAGTCTGCCTGTTCTGTTCCCCGCTCTGTCTCTTGTGATCCTCTCACCCCTGCACCTGTGCCTACACCCGAGTGTTTATATGCATACATAAAATAAATATTAAAGAAAAGAAAGAATTTGGGAATCTCCAGGATATTATTGATAGTTTTCACACCGTAGGGGAGAACACGGTGACCAGAACAAAAGGTATCGAAA